GGAGTTTTTTGTTAAAACCATCCGTCATAAAATTGTTAGGCTTCAGAGTGGGGTTTTGGTGGAGCGAAAAGTGCGAAACCCGTATTCTTGTGTGTTTTTGGGAAGTTTTTTTTCCAAAACACATAGATGGGCCTTTGTTAAATTTTAACAGCGGGCTTGTACAGGAAAAAGTTTTGGAGGGTTTTGTATAATTCTGGTCCTTTTCAGTTTTGAGAGATGTGATTACGTTGGAATTTTCCCACATCAAAAAAGTAATATGGAAAGAGATGTAGAACTACAAAAAATACACATAGTCACCGAGAGATGTTTTAGAAAACGAAACATTATGTAATTGATTATGATAAAGAATTCATTTAAAAAAGTAGTATCAAGATGCAACATCTACTCTATATGGTAATTCACTTATCGATTGAAACCCCAAAATTAGTTATCCAAAATACTCTTTATCAGGTTCAAACAAAAGTCAAAAACAGAGTAAACCGTACCAAAAGATTTTGATTCAATTTACCTAGCTGTATAAGCACGATGAAAATCAATTCGTAACGAAAATCTAACAGATTTTGTTTCAGAACTCCAAGAATAAGATTGAGCCAATCAAACAGACAAAATTTAATTAGATGGAAGAGAAAAAAAGGCATCAATTGATGACATTGTTTGTGCTCTCATGAGAACTTACAAGGATTTTCTAGATACTAATTTTAGCATTTCGAAATCAACTCAATATCCATCAAAACTATCATTAACAAAACTCCTAACAAAAAGCCAGAGAAAGAGTATCTTTTTCAAAGTATGAAAAGCACAATCTGAATAAACACTCGACGAAGATATCAGCACTTCAAATATACTAACGCTGTCAGGACAACTTGTCTGCGAATTGCATTGTGAGTATATCACTTTCGGTGAGCTGCAAGTCATAGGGTCGGGGAAAAACAAACCCATAACAGCTAGGGAATTGTAATGAGTGGGATAGGCTCGTTGTTCAAAACGGGCAAGTTGATTTTTTGGAAAAGTTGCTGGAAAACGAAACCAACTTAAATGGTCCTTTACATGACTCAAGTTCTAGCTTACGGTAAGTGAAAAATCAAAGAGATGCTGCAGATAACCAAATACTGAGATTGATTGTGCCTCATCGTCGGGTTTTTGATGAAGGGTGGACATCAACTGCGTAAAAGGTAAAATGATAGCTGATTTGGAAGCGGAGAGGCATCAAGGACTTGAAAATATTTTAAAAAAACTGTGACGAAAGAGAGCCTGATTAATTCCACAAGCATGAACTGTTTGGGGGATAGTTGGTTTTACAAAATGTTGTGACTTATCTGCTATAAAACAAAATGCTCAGCCAACGAGCTGTACAGCTTGGCAGCGGTTTATAATTAATAAATTGAACTAGAAACTTTTGGCATAAAATATCAAGTGCCTTAGGAAGGTCAAGTGTGACGGGAGCAGTACGTAAGGCAGGAGTGTTTTGTTAAAACCATCCGTCATAAAAATTGTTAGGGTTCAGAGTGGGGTTTTCGTGGAGCGAAAAGTGCGAAACCCGTATTCTTGGGTGTTGTTTGGGAAGTTTTTTTTCCAAAACACATAGATGGGCCTCTGATAAGATTTAACAGCGGGCTTTTAGAGAAAACAATTGTAGGGTTTGGTATAATTCTGGTCCTTTTCAGTTTTGAGAGAGGTGATTACGTTGGAATTTTCCTACATCAAAAAAGTAATATGGAAAGAGATGTAGAACAACAAAAAATACACATATTCAAGTCACCGAGAGATGTTTTAGAAAACGAAACATTATGCATTTGATTATGACGAGGATTTTAATGAAAAAAGTAGTATCAGGAAACAACATCTACTCCATATGGTAATTCATTTATCGATTGAGCCCCCAAAATTAGTTATCCCAAATACTCTTTATCAGGTTCAAACAAAAGTCAAAAACAGAGTAAACCGTACCAAAAGATTTTGATTCAATTTACCTAGCTGTATATGCACGATGAAAATCAATTCGTAACGAAAATCCCACAGATTTCGTTTCAGAACTCCAAGAATAAGATTGAGCCAATCAAACAGACAAAATTTAATTCGATGGAAGAGAAAAAAGGCATCAATTGATGACATTGTTTGTGCTCTCATGAGAACTTACAAGGATTTTCTAGATACTAATTTTAGCATTTTGAAATCAACTCACTATCCATCAAAACTATTATTAACAAAACTCCTATCAAAAAGCCAGAGAAAGAGAGTCTTTTTCAAAGTATGAAAAGGTTGAGTATATAGTAATCTAAGGTGGGACCACTTACAACTCTATCAAAAAATT